CTACTTCACTGTCAGGGCGGCTAGGATCTGCAACCAACTTCCAAGAGAAGTGGTGGTGGCTCCTACCTTGGGGGTCTTCAAGAGGAGGCTAGATGTACACCTTGCTGGGGTCGTTTGACCCCAGTACTCTTTCCTGCCCATGGCAGGGGGTCGGACTTGATGATCTGCTTGGGTCCCTTTCGACCCTACTAACTATGAAACTATGAAATTTTACTTAGGTCATCAAAGAAGAAGATATGGTCTCTTTTGTATAAGGCTTTTGGAGGATAAGACTTTCTGAATTTAAGGAATCATTGTCAATTTAGTTCAAATATTTTACAGATATTTTATAGATTGGAAGTTAGATTTTTTTAATCTCCCCGTTCTAAAAGAGCAGTATCTTTGCATTCCTTTAATACAGGAGGAGGTAGTGGTCTCTTTGAAACTGTCCCCCTTTCTTACAAACTGATTAGAGTTTTAAAATATGTATCTTTGGTGACTTCACTCAAAATCTCCATTTTTAAAAACTCTAAACTAAACACTTAGGCAAAAATCAAAAGAATCAAAAATGTTGATAGCTCACACTTCTCTGTTTTTATTTTGAACTGTATTCCAGACTCTCTATTACCATATCTACAGGTAACAAATAAGAATTCATGGCCAAAGACGGGAAAATTAGCAAGAGCAAATTAACTTTTATTGATAAAGCAGTTTTTTCATTGATATTTAAACATCCCCTCTTCCTTCACAAAAGTGTTTTTAATTCTGTTTTTATTAGTAAAACTTTCACGCGAGTCACTTTTTTTGAAAGATTTTTTTTTTTTTTCAATGTGTTTTTCTTCTCTTTAGGGATGGGTCCTTGCACATCACATGCACAGATCAAGACACAGGAAAGTGTGAAGTCATCACTGTTGAAGTGGCATCCTAGTCCTATTTAAAAGGAGCTTCTTTGTCTGGTTTGGCTTGGTTTGTCATTTCCCCTCCCTCCCCAAAATTGTCTTTATTTTAAAGATTCTTTTTAATGAGCTATGTCAGGCTGGAATAAATTGCAGTAAAACTTTTTACCACCAAAGCTGTTTTTAAATAAAAATACTGTATAGAAGGTTACCCTTACTCTTCAGACACTGGAGAGTCAAATAGTTACTGGTTCAATGCTCAAAAAAGGGATGGGGAAATCCCAGAGAGAAAACCATTAGACTTATTCAGTAATAAGGTTTATTACCCGGTAGGACCCAAAATACAGAAAGAATCCCCCTCAAGTCAAGTGACCTGTTAAGGGTTCTAGTCCCCTGTGTGTCTAACTTAAAAAATGTTGCATCTGTTTGGAACTAGTCAACGCTGGTAGTCTTTAAACAACCAAAAACAAACCAATTCTCTGTTGGGGTGGGGACTTACAGTGTATATCCAACTGTATGGAGCATTAGTCTTAAAATGGCTACCTGTCGGAATTGGGGTTCTGATGTAGATCAGATGCATTTTGGGTTATGTGAAATGTGTCTGTTAAGCACTTGTGTGCTTCTTTACTTAAGTAAAAGTAATAAACTATTTTATTCTATATTTATATAAATATAAAAAGCGTGTGTATGTATAGATGTTGATGTATTCCATTCTTAAGCTTGGGAAATCTGTCTCTCCCCATACCTTTTTAAGACCATAAATTCAGAATACTACATTTTTATCCACCACAAAGCCTGGCAGATTCCTTTCCTTAAAGGCAGCATAGTAAAAAAGGGGCTGCAGAGACACAGGGATGCATTTTGTAACTATTGCAACCTAACCTGCAGTTCACACACGCATCCAGTCAGCTCACAGGATCAGGCTTGGTCTTTTCAAACAAGAGAAATGTTAAAATTGATGCTGTACCAACCTTAAAAATCAAAGAATCGTGGAAAGCTAGAGGTGGAAGGAACTTCAGGAGGTCTAGTCCAGTGGTTCTGAACCTTTTTTGTACCAGGACCCATTTGTAAACATCGCTGGCCAGTCCCAACCAGTACCTCTCACTCCCAACCAACCCCTTTGTGTAGGGCAGGGGGTGGTGTGGGGCATGAGGGGACCCCTAGCAGCCCCTTGCAGGCTGGAAGTCTTACAGCTTGCAAGGGAAAAACCACAGTTTCCCGTGTTTTTCTCCTTTAAAAATGGATTCTCCTTTAAACTTTGTTGATCTACTTTTTAAAGTTTGTGCATGACCCTTTCATATATTCTTGCGACCCACTCTTTTGAGTCACGACCCGTTGGTTGAGAAACCCTGCTGTAGTCCAACCCCATGCTCAAAGCAGAGCCATCCTCAACTAGATCAAGGCTTTGTTATAACCAGGCTCTTAAACTTCCAAGGATGGAGATTCCACAACCGCTCTGGGTAGCTTGTTCCCGTGCGTTACTACCTTCCTGGTTGAGAGGTTTTTCCTAATATCTAACCTAAACTTCCCTTGCTGCAACTGAAGGCCATTGCTCTTTGTTCTGTCATCTGCCACCACTGAGAACAGTCCAGTTCCATCCTCTTTGGAACCAACATTCAGGTAGTTGAAGGTTGCTATCAAATCCCCCATCAGTCTTTTCTCCAGACTAAATAAGCCTGATTCCCACAGCCTCTCCAAGTCATGTGCCTGAGCCCCCTAACCCTTTTTGTTGCCTTCCACTGGACTCTTTAATCTGTCCACATTCTTTAGTTTTGGGTCCCCCACTACAGAAACGCAGTACTCCAGATGTGGCCTCACCAGTGCCAAATAGAGGGGAATAATCCCTTCCCTTGATCTTCTGGCTTGAACGCTTCTACTCATGCAGCCCAGTATGCTGTCAGGCTTCTTTGCAACAAGGGCACGCTGCTGGCTCATATTTAGCTTATTGTCCACTGTAACCACCAGGTCCTTTTCTACAGAGCTATTACTTAGCCAGTCGGTTCTGAGCCCGTACCGTGCGTGGAATTTTTCTCTCTCGTGCAGGACTTTGCACTTCTCCTTATTGAACCTCATGAGATTTCTTTTGGTCCAATCCTCCGATTTGTCAAGGTCTCTCTCAATCCTAGTTCTACCCTCCAGTGTATCTACTACTCCCCCAGCTTGGTGAGGGTGCACTCCATCCCATCTTCCAGGTCATTGATCAACATATTGAACAAAATCAGCTGCAAGATTGACCCCTGGGGCATTCTATTTGACACTGGCTGCCAATTGGATATCAAACCATCAATTACTACTTTTTCAGCCCAAATATCCCAGCCAGTTTTTTTTATTTGCCTTGCAGTCTATTCATCCAACCTGTACTTCCTTAGCTTGCTTCCAAGAATGTTGTGGGTGACTATCAAAAGTCTTGCTAAAGTCAAAGTAAGTTACCTCCAGTGCTTTCTCCCATCCACAAAGCTAGTCATCTTGTCCTAGAGGACAGTCAGGTTGGTCAGGCATGACTTACTGCCCTTGGTGAATCCACACCAACTGTTCCTAATCACCAACCTCAAGTGCCTAGAAATGGATTGCTTGAGAACCTACTCCATGCATTTTCCAGGGACTGAGGTGAGGCTGACTGGTCTGTAGTTCCCTGGCTCCTCCTTCCCTTTCTTTAAAGATCTAGTGACTTGCCCTTTTCCAGTCATCCGGGACCTCTACCAATGGCCAGCAACCCTGCAATCACATTAGCTGACTCCCTCAGCATCCTTGGGTGCCTGCATCCAACCCTGCATTCTTCAGGAAGCACTACTTCACAGTCAAGGCGTCTGGGATCTGGAACCAACTTCCAAGGGAAGCGGTGCTGGCTTCTACCCTGGGGGTCTTCAAAAGGAGGCTGGATAATTACCTTGCTGGGGTCGTTTGACCCCAGTACTCTTTCCTGCCCATGACAGGGGGTCAGACTTGATGATCTGCTCAGGTCCCTTCCGACCCAACCAACTATGAAACTATGGACTTGTGTACGTCCAGCTTTTCTAAATAGTCCCCAACCTGTTCTTCCACCACTGCTGGCTGCTCGCCTCCTCCCCAAACTGTGCCACCAGGTGCAGTTAGTCTGGGAGCTGACCTTGCCTGTGAAGACCTGAGGTGAAAAAGGGATAGAGTACCACAGCCTTTTCTGCATCTTCTGTCACTGGGTTGCCTCCCCTATTCAGTAAGGGACCTACACTTTTCCTAATCTTCCTCTTGTTGCTGACATACTTGTATAAACCCTTGTTATCCTTCATGCTTCTTGCTAGTTGCAACTCCAATTGCAATCTGGCCTTCCTGACTTCATCCCCGCATTTCCAAGCAATACCCTTACACTTTAATCTGTTTGTCCAAGTTTCAGTTCTTGTAAGCCTCTTTGTGTGTGTGTTCCCTGCTAAGCCAAACACTTCCTAGGCCATACATGCTAGTCTTCCTGTGCAACAGGAGGACTCATTCCTGCACCCTCAGTAAGGTTTCTTTTTCTTTTAAAAACAACCAGTTCTGCTGGACTCCTTCCCCCTCAAACTGGCCTCCCAGGGGATCCTGCCCATTAGTTCCCTGAGCAATTTGAAGTCTGCTTTTTTGAAGTCCAGGGTCCTTACTATGCTGCTCTCAATCCTTCCTTTCCCTCAGGATCCTGAACTCAGTCATCTCGTGGTCACTGCTGCTCAAGTTGCCATCCACTCCTGTATTTCCCCACCAATTCTTCCCTGTTTCTGAACAGCAGGTCAAGAAGAGCACAGCCCTGACTTGGCCTCTCTAATACTTGCACCAAGACGTTGTTCCCCAACACACTCCAAAAACTTTCTGAGTTCCTGTGCACTACTACCCTCCCAGCAGATGACAGGGTGATTTAAAGTCTCCCCCTCCCATGAGAACCAGTGATTGAGAAACTCCACTACGTGTTTGAACAAAGCCTCATTACCAGACCAGGAGGATTAGTTTCATAGTTTCTAGGGTTGGAAGGGACCTGAGCAGATCATCTAGTCCGACTCCCTGCCATGGCAGGAAAGAGTACTGGGGTCAAATGACCCCAGCAAGGTGTTCATCTAACCTCCTCTTAAAAACCCCCAGGGTAGGAGCCTGCACCACTTCTCTTGGAAGTTGGTTCCAGACCCTAGCCACCCTGACCGTGAAGTAGCGCCTCCTGATATCTAACCTAAACCTACCCTCTACCAGCTTGTGACCATTATTCCTGGTCACTCCTGGCGG